TGGTAGTCGAGAAGGTTCTGCAGGTTTCTCGTCAGACAGCTCCTCCAACATGGCTCTGGTACGACCTTCCCCTTGATCCCCATCTTCGTGTGGTGGTAGTCGAGAAGGTTCTGAAGGTTCCTCGTCAGGAAACAGGTCATCACTCCCATTCCCGCTACACTTCCCTTGATCCCCATCTTCGTGTGGTGGTCGTTGAGAAGGTTCTGCAGGTTCCTTGTAAGGTGGGTGTAGCTTCCCCTCCTTTGCCTTGGCGTCCATCGGATCATATAGTCCATGGTCTTCTGGTGGCTCACGGGAGGTGTAAGCCTTCACATATTCTTTTGGCATTGTGTAGCGCGCTACCATGAGGTATTTTAGATGTCTGCCGAGGTTGCCCTTGGAAGTGGCATCGAGTGCTGGTTTTACTGGTCCAGCAAGGTCGATGGTCAAGCTGAATTGCTCCGGATGCCGTACACGGCCATGACGTTTGCCAGTGCCTCTAGACATAACGCACGTCAAGCAATCCCTTCGGTAATCAGCATGATTCGACCGTACATGTGCCTTCCACTGCGCAGGGGAGAATGCCAGGAGTCTCGGCGGTTCCTTAGGTCTTCTCGTCCAGAACCTCAAGGCGGTTACCGTTGCATCCACCAGTCCTGGCGCCCATACTCCTGATCCCATCGCCCTTGTAGCTTGCTCGCTGTCCTCGGCATGCATTCCATCCAAGCCCATCAAGTAGTAAACGTTGGTGCCGATTGTCGTAGGTATGGAACTCGGTGAACCCATGCACTTTTGATCAAACGTCACCTGCTTCATCTGGTATGCTTCCTGGAACGCTTCCCACATGGTAGTAGTCCACAAGGATCTCGCCGCTCTTGGTGGCGAGTTGGTAGTTAAGCTAGCCGTAGAGGATATCACTGGCGTAGCCGCCGGGTGTTCCAACGCGAATGCCACTGGCCTCTGGTAGTTGGGCCCCGCTGTCTTCACTGCTCTTGCAGCCTCCGCAATCGAGTAGAGCCACATCATCCTCGCCAACACGCTCATCACCTTCACGTCGGCTCCCTTCGGAACTTCGCCATGCTGTAGTACTCCTCCTCGTCCTGGTGGTCCTCCCACGACTCCGTCCAGCTTTCCCATCATCGCGCCCCACAACAAAAACCTCCACGTAGGACTCCTCATGATATCCTGGCCCCTACACCGGTCCACATCGAGCTCAATCAGCACGGTGTCCCCCTCATCCACTTGGAACATCTGGTAATGTCCTGGGTTTCCCGCGAAGAGATGAACCATCCACCGCTTTGCCGTCCACAACCTCCTTCTCTGAGGGCGGGATAGGAAGTCCACCCCCTTCAACGCCTTCCATCCTTCTTCTTTTAGGTTCGGCTCCAGTAGTCCACTCAAACAATCTCCCGGAAGTCCTTGTAGATATGGTGCTTCACGAAGTCCTCTTAGTCCAGCACCCATGTCCCCTGTCGCCACATAGTCCTGCAGGTGCTCCTTCCAAGACTTGTCCATCTGAAGCGCCGCCGTTGTAAGGAGATCCTCCGTCTCCTGCGTGATGTTCTCAAGGCTTTCCCTGCGGCGATCCTCAATCCGGGAAATCATAGACAAGGCCTCCAGTTCACATAGTTGTGGACACCCTCCTCGAACCTTCAATCTCGTGACCATCCCATCGGGGTCCTTCAGGAGGCAATGCGTAGGAGTCCACTCCAGCGAGTAGCCAAGTGTAGACACCAACTCCCCTAAGGGAACTATTGTTTGTCCACTGGCTGTCACGGTCTCACTGGGGTTGCTCGGCGGCATTAGCAATGAGCCCGCGTCATTGATCCGCATCATCAGTTTGCTTGTGCCAGCCAACTGGACCATCACTTCAGCCGCCGGGCTCCACTCATCATTGTCTCGTGCACTCCGAAGGCACTGGGTTGCTCCAGAATCCAGCAATGCCGCTGCTGTGTTGGCCGCTCCCACGCGGATGTCCTTGATGATCATCATGCGGAGCTCGGGCTTCGTTTTCTCGGGTGAGGAGTCGCCTTGGTGCCCGGGTTGCGATTGACCTTGAACAACCTGATGAGCCGCTTGGACTAGCGCCTCCAAGGTCCACGGCACACCTTGCTGCGTAGACGCTGTAGAAACCGATGATCCCATGGTCGAGCCCGCTGTTGCCGCTGTGCTGAAAGAAGCTACTTCTGGCTCGCGCTGCTGGTACTTGGGCCGCTGCTCCCGCGAAGATCCCGAAGTCGGCGTAGATCCTTGTTGCCGCTGACCCCCTTTTGGCCACCGTACACTCACGCTGTCTATGGCTTTCGCTTCCGCACTTCAGGCACTTCTTCGATCTAGCTTCTCTGTTTAAGGACTGCATGGAGTGTGCATACTTGCACTTCTCGCCGCGTTTGCATCCGCTCGGCTTCAGGAAATATCTGCAGACCTCCGCGCTCGTCTTATTGCCTTCCTTCTCGGGCTTCGGGGCTGCTACCTCAACTGCTTGAACTCTAGGTACCACAGCCGCTGTCGTTAGTCCTGCAGCTAGTCCTTCCAGCTCTGCTTGCAAGTGTCTTTGGTAGGCCCCAACCTGCTCCAGCGAAGGCTGCCCGTCGAGACGGAGTGAGGTCCTGAGCATGGCCGTGCGGAACGCTGCATCGGGGGAGAGGGCTATCGTCTTTGTAGTCAAACTCATCAGCCCCCTTGCCATCACTGTTGGGTCTGGTGCCGTCATGCCCATACTGTAACATCTATTCAACCATCTTGGCCACGATCTCAGCACCTTGAGCACCTCAGACACAGACTCACCCTTGAGGAAATCCGATGGCATCTGAAGTCGTCTAAGAACCTCTTGTCGTTCTGCAGAGCCCCCTGGTTGATACCACGTATATAGACGAAATATGATCTTGCCTGTGTCTTGGGAGGCGCGCTGGCTAAGCATGTCGGCCTGCAGCTCATCGGTCATCACGTTGAGGAGCATTGAGGATGCGCGGGCGTTCAGTCGCAGCCATTGTCCCTCACATAGCGCTGCGGTCCCTTCCGGCTGTATGGCCAAGCGCTCTATAGGTGTTGCTGCCAGCCACCGGGCATAAGCTGCCTCAACTAGGCTCATCATTGCCCGCCACCACTTTCCAGATTGCTCACTCACATCCGACATACTCGTGCTAGCTATCTCTAGCCAGTCCTGGAACTGAAGGGATGATTCTGCTTCGTAGTTCTGGTAGCGGAGCCAGTGATGTAGTCCCTGACTTCAGACTATCCACCCCGCTTGCACCCGATGACCTTGACATAGCTTGTGCTTGCAACTCCTGAAGCTGCTGTACACCCTTAGCGATCGTCTCCATCATTGGGGATTCTTGCGCGCCCTAGCAATGACCTTAGGAGTCCTCCGTGATCACCTCCATAGTCTCCAGCTGGATCACCTGACGGATCGGTTGGTCTCGGAGGTAGTCGTGGAGGGTGAGGTAGACCCGAACCCTGGTGCTCTGGCGGTAGATCTCCCTGTGGTACTCTAGGGGGTTGAGGTACACCGGAATGTTGGGGTACTACTGATGGTCTAGGGGGCTGAGGTACCGTAGAATCAGGGCTTACACTTTGAAGTGCTGGTAGCTCGGGTGGAGCTTCATGTCGTCTTCATGTCGTACAACAAGGCCTCCTTACCCCATAAGCCCCCGGGTCCCGATGGCATACTCAGTAGGCCACCCCATAGATCTCCTGGAAGGTCACTGCGGCCTTGGTCTCCTCCTGAGATGGCCGTCACCGCGTGCCGTCCAGCGCCTGGTGCCTGGGCCCTAGCTTCCTCCAACTGCAGTTCTAGCTCAGCGTTGCGGCTTTCCGACTCTTGCAATTTTGCCAAGAGTCCAGACATCTGCCTCTGTACTTCAGCCTGAATAGCCTCTGCTGGAACGCTTGAGGAGCTCGGAGGGGTTGGTGGCCTCTGTGGTCGCCGCTGTCGTATTGGCGACCTCAAAGAAAACGCTCCACCGCCCGTAGGAGAGGTGACGCTCGCAGCCAAAGGACTCGGCGCCGCCGGATCCCTTCCAGACATATAGGCAGAGAACCTCGTCATCCACCGCGGTAACTCTAACGCAGACAACCAGGCCGGCTGTCCCGTTCCCGACGTCGTAGATCTCGGCGTCAGATAGTCCGCTTGAGCATCAACATGCGTCCGTCCTCGCGCCGTTTCCGCTTCCTGTCTTCTGACAGCCTCGCCAGTCATCGCTGCATTCAGTTGCACGGTCTGCTGCTGGGTCTGCTCAGTCTCCACAGCCGAAGCGGTGGCCGCAGGATCTTGCCGTCTGGGTGGGGTCGCTTGCCTTGTAGCACCAGCCACTGCTGACCCACCAAGGTCCACATCAACCGCGCCACTTCCGGAGTCGTACACTCCTTGCGGATCCACACTGCTGGTTGTAGGACCATCCAATGATCCCCCTGCAGCCTGCACTGGCCCAGGGCTTGTAACATCCGCCCCAGGCTGCACGCTCGGGACTGTATTGTCCCCTGTGCCATTGCGGAGCATCCCCTTGGGCGCTCATAACCTGTTGATGCCCATTGGCATCGCTGGGTGGGGCAAAGCTTGCATCTCCAGAATCCATCATGAAACCATGAGCACGCAAGGCGAAGTCAGCTCTTGTTTTCTCTCCACAACGAACGACGTTACACGTTGTTTTTGTGTAT